TAAATAAATTATAATTACCATCTTGCATTTGTTTTCTTGTTTGTTCTTCAGCTGCTTTTTTTGCTATTAATTAAAAATAAAGAAGTCAATACTATATAAGTATAATTCACACATATTTTGACTTCAATATATTTTTATAAATATAAATCATAATTACCTCTATGTCTAGCCATATCTTCTTCAGTAATCATTGGTATCATTCTACTTCTATACCTGTCATCTAATAATAATTAAAAATACATAAATTCAATATATGAACTTGTATTCAGAATAAAATATTTAAATTCTTAAATAAATTATAATTACCATCTTGCATTTGTTTTCTTGTTTGTTCTTCAGCTGCTTTTTTTGCTATTAATTAAAAAATAAAGAAATCAATACTATATAAATATGGTTTACACAAATTTTGACTTCAAAATATTTTTATAAATATAAACTATGATTACCTCTATGTCTAGCCATATCTTCTTCAGTAATCATTGGTATCGTTCTACTTCTATACCTGTCATCTAATAATAATTAAAAATACATAAATTCAATATTTGAAACTTGTATTCAGAAATGAAATATTTAAGTTTTTAAATAAATTATTATAATTACCATCTTGCATTTGTTTTCTTGTTTGTTCTTCTGCAGCTTTTTTTGCTAATTATTAAAAATAAAAATTAATATTATACATACCAATTTGGTTTTAATATATTTCTATAAAACATAAATTATAATTAATTACCTCTATGTCTTTCTATATCTTCTTCAGTTATCATTGGTATCAATTGACTTCTATATCTGGGATCATCTAATAATTTTTAAAAAAAAATAAACTTAAGATTTGAATATTCAGTTTGAACATATATTATTAGATAATAAAATATTTAATTACCATCTTGCATTTGCTTTTTTGCTTTTTCTTCTGCTGCTTTTTTTGCTAAATATTAAATTATAGAATGCAAAAATAATAAACATAATTTAATCTAATTATAATTATTGACTTTTTCAACATAATAAATCTAAATTTTAATTACCATTATGTCTGGCGATATCTTCTTCCGTAATATGTGGTATCAATTTACTTCTGTATTTTGATTCATCTAATAATTTAAAAAATCATATATAAAATTAGATATAAAATTTAAAACCGATTCATAAGAATAATATTTTTATTAACAATATTTAAATAATTAGAATAATGATTATCACCTTCAACTTCAGAGTGTTTAGAAGTTGATGATTGATTTTGTGCAGCTTGTTTTGCTATAAATTGAAAATATAAGTGTATAAAATTTAATATAATTAGAGAATAATACTTTTGAAAAATATAATAAAATAAATTAAAATTTAAATTATAACTACCTCTATATCTGGCCATATCTTCTTCAGTAATCATTGGTATCAATTTACTTCTATATCTGGAATCATCTAAATAATTAAAAATACATAAATTCAATACTTGAATATTTCATGTTATGAATTCAGAAATAAAATCTTAAGAAATTATAATTACCATCTTGCATTTGTTTTCTGGCTTGTTCTTCAATCGCTTTTTTTGCTAATAATTAAAAATAAAAGAAATCAAATTACATAAGTATGATTTACACCAATTTTGATCTTAATATATTTTGATAGATAGATAATTACCTCTATATCTGGCCATATCTTCTTCGGTAATCATTGGTATCAATTTACTTCTATATCTGGAATCATCTAATAATTAAAATAATATATAAATTTCAAATTAAAAAAAAAAAAAAAAAACAGAAATTTTCGAATGATTCAACAATATTTCAATATAATAATTGTAAATTATAATAATTACCATCAAGGTGCGATGGCTTAGACATTACAGGATTTGGCATTATATGACTTCCGGGTTTGGACATTGCTTGTTTCTCTAAATAAAAAAACAAAGATATTATTAATATAAAAATTTTGTTACATTTAATATATATAATTATTATTACCTCTATATCTAGCCAATTCTTCTTTTGAAATAATTGGTATTAATTTACTCCTATATCTCGAATCTGGATCTTCGAATCATAAGATAAAATATGATATATTAACGGAATTTAGAATTTAAAGGATTTCGTAAGATCATTAATAATTGATAATAAGGTAATTACCATCTAAACCAGTTGTTAACGCTGACTGAGTATTTTGTTTTTCGTAATCTTGCCATATATTGTTAAAATAATTTTTTAATTCTTGAGAAGTAGGCCTTTTAGAAGGATCAGAATCCCAACATTTTTTCATTATAGCCGAAATGTAATCAGGAACTTCTGCTCCAATTGTAGGTCTTTCTCCTTTAGTAATCCTTATTACCCTATCAGAATCATCATCTTGTGATTCCAAAGGTTGTTTAATACCGTTAAAAATATCCGATACAATAATGGCAAATGAATATATGTCCGATGATTTAGTATAATTTTTTCCACGTAATACTTCAGGAGCGATGTATGGAATATTTTTTAATGAATCATCCTGAATTGAAGTTGAATTTGAATTTGCTAAAGAAAAACCAGTAATACACGCAGAATAGGGATCTTTCAATAATAAAATATTTCCACTTTCAAGATCTTTATGACTAAATCCACATTCGTGAATCGCTGCCAAACCATCTGCAATATCTCTTGCAATTTTAATTTTACCACCCAAGGAAAAACTTTCAAAATTATTTTTTAAGAATTTTCGAAGATTTCCACGTTTTGCATATTCCATAACGATTGTGTAACTTTCACTTTGGAATTGTGGCATTTTGGTCAATCCATAAACGTTAATGATATTTGGAGAATATTTCTTGCATTTAATTTGTGTTAACATCTAATAAATAAACATTATAGGTAATAATAATAATAATAAATATAAAATAAAAATGAAAATAAAAAAAATGAATATAAAATAAAAATAAAAATAAAATAAAAATAAAATAAAATAAAAATAAAAATAAAAATAAAATAAAAATAAAATAAATATAAGAATATATAAATATAATAATATATAAATTTATATATATATGTATATATATATTATATAATATGTACAAAATAGGCATATAATATTCACCTCATTAAAAATTTCATTAATGGTATTTTTCGGGTTATCCAAACTTTTCAAACAAATCATAACATTTCCATTTCTATCAAATTTTTGATCTTTGACATTCCATTTTTTAATTGATCCATCGAGCCATATAGCAGAATGAATTTTTGAAGTTTCGCTTTGTTCGATTAATTCGATATCATGAATCTTTTCATGAGGAATCCACTCAATAATTGTAGAATTAAGTTGAGCATCTTTTATTAATTTATCAATTTCTTCATTTCCACTTGTCCATTTATCAAAATCATTTTGAAAATGTTTTTTAGTACAAGGAATGCAGTTATTTTTATCTTCACAAGGTTCATTGCATTCCTCACAAGTTAATTTTGTTAAATTTTCTGTTTTGGATTCTTCAAATCTTACATGTGCCTGTGACATATTGAAAAATGTGAAATTAAGTAAAGAAAAATGTAATTATTGTTATTATTCCTTAGTATTTGAATTTTTGAGATTTCTTAAGACTTGACGTCGTTTTTTATCGTTTTTTTATAAGGTTTTTTAAATCTCAGTATTATTACTTTTTTTGGTTACACTGTGAAATTCTTAGAAATTCTTCAGGAATGTTCTGATATGTGATACAACAGTACTTATGAATATTGAAATGCTTATTTTGATTATAATAATACAAAAAAAAAAAATAATAGAACCTTTATTGTTTCCATAAAGAAAAGAATTTGTTTATTTTTCTTTTTCGCTTTGTTCTAAATTTTCAATTGTTCTATTCTAGAACATTTATTAATTATTCTAGATTTTTAGATGGGTACACGTATTATTATGCGTAATACTAATAAATACTAATAAGACTGGCTTAAATTAACGTTAAACGTTTTTATAATGTTAGTAACTGCGAGTACTGTTAGTAATCGATCTGAGGCACAGGCACAAGATTTTGTTTGTCATTTACGATTTTAAGTTGATTTATGCATAGTAATATATAATTTCGGCATATAAGCTTAATAAACCTCCTCATATTCATATAACCTCATATATATTCTCATATAACAATATTTTCTAGAAAGAAAGTTCATTTTGAATAGCTATCGTAGTAATCTCATTTATGCCTACCTCATTGATGCTTACATAAAAATTTTCTTAAAAAAATGGGATAAAATATTAAAGTAATAATTAACAACGAGAACAAAGGATATTGAAAATTTCTCACTGGAATAGTGTCATTTATATTTTTATTCGATGCATTTTATATTAAAAAAAGAATTTTTTTGAAGGAAGATATTTTATAAATTTATAAAGAAAAATGATATTAGATCGACGTGAAAAATATGAAAAATAACAACACAGCAGAAAAAAACGATTAATTTATTTTACTACTAAACTATTTAAGGAAATAATGGAATTATTTAATTTTATTAAATATTTATTATCAATTAACAATATGATATGTGTAAATGTATAAACTTGATTAAAATTATCAAAATAAATAAATAAAATGCTCTTAAATATAAGTAATATATTTGTATCCTATCATTAAAGTCTTAAATTTATCCTATGATACGGTCAGCCATGTATCCAGTCAATAAAGCTGTTAATAAGGAAGATACAAAATTTATCTAAAAAAAAATAATAATAATTATATAATACATAAGAATATAAATATAAGGATACATAGAAATGTAAATATAATACATTAGATACATAGATACATAAAACTATAAATATTGTAATACATAACATAGCATAGCATAGAATAGAATATTATAAATATAATCATAATAAATATAAAGTATATAAAATCACCTGATTATTATCCAATATATCAATTCCACTTATAACTCGAGTATCACTACTTTTGCTCTCTTTATAAGTAATTTTTTTTGATTTTTCGGAAAAAACAGAAATTTGTATGGTGGCACCTAAAAAAGAATCTATTAAGGAACCCAATAATCCAGCTAAAGAAGATATCGAAATTATTTCCAACCAAAAATTACACGATCCACATGACAAAAATATGGAGATAACTGCAGAAATTCCAATAATGAATCCACCCATTATTGAAGCAAATAAACCTAATTCTGATATTCCACCATTGGTTCCAGGTGGAACCTGAAAAATAAAATAAAAATTAAAGAATGATAATTTTTATATATTTTATAACAAATGATAATGAAAGAAGAATAAAAAAAAAAGAATAAAAAGAATAAAAGTAATTTCTTAAAATACCTTTTTAAATGAAGTTATTAATATAGGCCAACTAGTGTTAAGAATACCAAGTTCACTTGCCCACTAAAAAATTTAAATAATGTTAAGCGAAGTGTGAGGAATTAATATTTTTTAATAATAATAATAATAATAATAATAAAACTTATTTATTACCGTGTCTCCATTACAAGTAGAATAATGCCTTTAACATATATTAATAAATTAAATTATTCAAATGATAAAAAAAATGATAAAAAAAATGATAAAAAATGATAAAAAATGTTTGATAAAAACTTTAAATTAATAATAATATAATTACCCTAAACACATGTATAATAACATTCGTGATCCACGATCATCAATCAAACATCTTAAGTTACCACCATAATGATATTGATGGATTAAAGCAATAACAGTTCCAGTTAAAGCGTTACATATAACTTGTGTCGCTGTTCTTTGTCCACCTATAAATATAAAATTTACGTGAGTTGTCATTAAATGTGATTAGTTGTCGAATGAGAATTATCAAATGTTGAGTTATTGAATGTTGAGTTATATTGAATGTGAGTTATCGAATGTGAGTATTTAAATATATATCTACCTTCTAGATGATCTTCTTCAAGTTGTTTCTTCCTTTCTGCTTTGTACTAAACATTCAATTGAAAAATGAAATGATATATTTTTAATCGATTTATTTTATACTTATATAATAATTTATATTAATTTATTTTAATTTATATTAATTTATGTCAATTTATATTAATTTATATTAATTTATATATTAAGTAAAAATTTACCTTTGTTAATTTTGAACTAGTAAAATAAAATACCAACATTATCACAGGAAATACCGACCATTCATTAATTAAAGTGCCAAATCCCAATAAAAATGCTGAAATTGCCCCAGAAATTGATAATGATTTTTTACTAATGCCATTATAAGCTAATCCTGATGAAATTATAAAAGAGAATAATAAATTCATTGTCTTTTATCTGTCGTTATTATTACTATTGTTGTTGTTGGTGTTGCTTTTGTTATCTATTATCTGTTATCTGTATTCTTTTATTTATTATTATCTTTTATTGGTATCTTTTTATTATTATTGTTGTTGTTGTTGTTATTATTTATAAATAAAAATAAATAAATATCTTAAAGAATTAAAATAACTTTTAAGATAATGATAGAAAACATAGAAAACAACAGGTACAAGTATCGAACGATTTACAGAATTTATATACTAATTTCAGAGTTAAAAAATTGAGTAACACTGACACATTTCCATATTTAGAATATTTAGAATTGCTATAATATAATATAATAATATTATAAATTAGTATATTGGTAAAAGTATACTAACTAAACAATAATAAATAATAATAAATAAATAATATATAATACTAATTAGGAATAAAATAATTTTTTTATTTGTATTTATAAGATCCTTTAACAATAACCAATATATTAATAAATAAATGAATAAGTTAAAGGAATGAATGTAAAAGTGAAAAAATCTACAAATAATAGAATAATAATAGGTTAAAAGAGAAAAGATCATAATATAAATGAATGATATAAAAAAAAAAATGACGTGTGTAAATTGTATTGTAAAAAAAAAGACAGAAAAATGTAAAAGATAGGTAATATTCACCACCACCAAAACCAACTAATATAACTAATAAACAAAATGAAACCATATATCCTCCTCCTCTCCTCCCTCCCTCCCTCCCTCCTTCCTTTCTAATAATAATGACAAAAAGATGAAAAGTCAACTAGTATAAATTTCTTGTGATGTGAATGGGAATTTGAGATATCGATACCGATTGTCGTGACGTGAAAGATGTTCGTGACGAATAAGATGGTTGTGGATGATAATGATATCACAGAAAGACTCGAAAAAAAGTAATAACAAAGATTCTTCGTTTTTTTTTGTTTGAAGGGGGGAGGGAATTAATATATATATACATGTATAGATAAAGATAAAGATAAAGATATAGATATACGCAGTATATATATATTTTTATAATATTAATTGAAATAATTAATATTAAATTTTTGAGATATTATATTATGTATATTTTTTTTTTAATAGAAAAATAATAGATTGAAATATTGATAAGTTATAATAATAAGATATTTCATAATTAAATAGGATATCTAATCTAAATATATAATATTATAAGAAACCACTTTCTTGTAATAATCTAGCAATTTTCTCATCCTCCCGTTCCCTGTAAAAATTGTGTAAAAATTATAGTAAAAATTAGTGAAAATTGTATAAAAAAAAATATTTAAAATTTATTTAATAAACAAAAATAGAATAAAAAAAGATAAAGAATTAAAAGGAATAAATATATATAGTAACATCACTTACTCACCTCGGCTCCATATTTAAACTTTGATCATATAAATCTCCAACATCTTTACTTTCTTGTAAATGTGATTGAATAAATATCTGAATTTCTTGTACAGCATTTAAATTATATGGAACTGATTGATATTGTTGTATTTCTCGAATTACTTCAGCAGTTTTCATTCGTTTGGAAAAATTAATAAGTGGTCGTGTTTTTTTAATAGTATTGGGATTACCATCTTCAATAAATGTTAAATCAGTCAAGTAGACACCTAAAATAAATAAATTAATTAATTAATAACATTACATTGTCAAGAAAAGGAGAAAACAAAATAATAAAAATAAAAATAAAATGAAAATAAAAAAAAAAATAAAAATAAAAATAAAAATAAAAATTTACCTAAAAATGGTACACAAGGAGGATTAACACTATGTAACATTTCTCTATAATCGCAAAAATTTTTAGTCGAATTCATAATTCTATTTAAATTTTCTAATGTCTGTATGGGTTTAGCATTAACCATCTCCCAAGTTCTCTTTAATCTATGAATTGGAGCCGAATTTAATCCCGAAATTATAGCCGTTAATGAATTGAAATTGTTTAAGGATCTACATTTATCAGCTACCGCAACAAAATGTTTTATTAATGCACAACGTTTTTTAACTTCGGGTTGATTTAGTATAGATTCCGCTACCCATCCTGTAATCTATTTTTGATTGATTTAAAGATTGATATTAATTAATTAATTATTTATTTATTTATTTAAAGGTAATTATAAATAAAATAAAATAAAATAAAATAAAATAAAATTAAATAAAATAAAAATTAAATAAAATAAAATTAAATAAAATAAAAATTAAAATAAAAATAAAGTTAAATAAAATTAATTGAAATAAAATAAAAATTAAATAAAATAAAATAAAATTAAATTAAATTAAATAAAATAAAATAAAAATAAATAAAATATAAATTAGATATTAAAACTTACTTGATTACTATTAACAATCATAGCTTTAATATTCTGAGCAGGTTCTTCATCATCATTTTTTTCATCTTCACTTTTACTCCAAGCTTTATTTAAACATTCTACAGGTTTAATTTTATTATATAATCGACTCTCTATTATGGTTAATTGTCGAGCAATTTCTAATGGATCTAAATCCAAAAATTTTAATTTCCTCATACTTTTTGGTAATATTGAAGGTGGCGGTGATTGTGCATTGGGAACTAATTTTTTAAATATAGTATCGGAATTCTTTTGTTGTTGCTATAAATAAACATAAAATAAATAGAAATATAAAATTAGAATTATAGAAATTATAAAATTATAATTATAGAAATTATCAACAAATCATAATACTCACTCTTGTCTCAATAACTTTAATTAAACTCGCAGAAGCAAATGCCATATTTTCATGCATAACAGTACTAACAAATTCTCTTATTCGTTCTAAACAATGAGAATCGTCACCATCAATATAATAATTTTCTAACCATCCTTTCATAATATTAAATACTCTTAATCTAATGGGAGTTTGTTTCTTTTCAATCCAAGTTTCATTTTCTTCTTTGGTTAAATTTTCAGGAGGTGTAATCAAAAATCTTTTTACCAACATATCAAAGAATTCGTCGGTGGTACAAAACGAACGATAGGTTAATAAGAAAGTGGCGATGAAATTGGAATCGAGAACATCATGCATGGTTAATCTTTCAACCAAAGCTTTTAATGTACCACCCTTAACGTGATTTTCCATATTAAAAACGATTTCGGAACTTTCATAATCATAATTAAGAAACCAAGGTTTATCGGATTTGTCTTCTTTACGAGGAGGATCTTCACCAAAGAAACGACTAGGTTTTACAGATTTCGATGCTGCTGAAGGTGATTTTATCATATTACTATTAATACTATTAACACTATGAGTACTAACATTATCATTACCATTAGAATGATTATTATTATGATGATTATTATTATGATGATTATTATTGTGATGATTATTAATATGATTACTATTACCACTTTTATAAGATGATGGTGGTGAATGATCCATCGATGAATTATTATTATGATTATTATTACTAACACCACCAACACTACTACTACTACTACTACTATTACCTCCACCATTAATTCCATTAATATTATTAATATTATTAATATTATTAATATTGGATGCGGAACTTCCGGAACGATGACGATTATTTGTTGAACTTGCTTTTGATCGACCACCAATTGATGAATTTTCGGAAATAGGAGAAATTGGAGTATCATCCATCATAAAATTTTGATCAGATGATGATGTTGCTGTTTTCATGACATCATTTTCAGGAACTGTTTGTAAAGTAATATTATTGTTAATGTTGTTGTTGTTGATATCTGTATCTATAATCATATCATCTTCATTTTCATTTTCTTTTATACTATTATCAATTTGATTATTATTATTAATTTGATCATCAATTTGATTATTATTATTATTATTATTATTATTACGTCGTTTGTTAGGAGGTGCTTCGGAATTACTTGGACGCCTAGAAATACGCATATTAATTCGTAATTGATCTTGAGTATCTTTTTCTTCTACCAAGAATTTAGTTGCAACAATTACATCAGTTACAGATTTTTCAACAATATTGGTTGATTGTTGAACTTGATCGATACCATCAGGTGGTGTAGTAGCGGATTGAGTGGAAATAACTAATCCCGCGATATTATTATATAAGGTTTGTTTCGCAACCTTAAATTCATTAATGGTACCTTGACTTGTTTCATCTAAATCTTCTAAATTAATATCTTCAATAAATGCTAAGAATTGTCCTACTTGTGTAACGACTTGACGAGTTTGTAAAATCAATTGAGGTGCGAAATTCGCTATTTGATTATTTCCATTGGTCATCGTACTTAAGTTATTATTATTATTGATATTATTATTATTATTATTATTATTATTATTAACAACAACATTAATATTACAAATTTCTAAATATTTTTTGACATGATTAAGTAATAAAGAGATTGCCTTATTAACATTACGAGAAATATGATCTAAAGAAGCTAATAGATCAGGTGTAAGAGAACGAGAGAATACATTTTGATTATTTATATCGAGTGAATTATTATTATTATTATTGAGAAAAGGTAAATTATTACCCTTCCAAGCACCACCATTTACCGATTCTAAAATTTTAGGATCAACTCTTCTAATATCAACAACATTTTCAGCAGCTTGAACAAATTGACCAACAGCTGCTGAAACTTCCTCTGCGTCACTCATCATTTTTTGAGCTGAATCAGGAGGAGGCCAAACACCTGATGCAACTTCAGTAGAAAGTACCAATTTTGATAATGATGCCATAATGTGTCTATGATAAATTTTAAGTGTCCGATTTTGTCGAATTGCTGGTGATTCCTTTTCTACTGTACCTGATGCATAAAGCATAATACGAATACTTTCAACAATAGTATTTGTACAAAGTTGATAATTTTGTTTGGAATTATCTTTGGCTGCAACATTTAAACCATTAATTGCTGTAATAATTGTAGTATATAATGATTCCCATGTTAAAACTTCATTAGGACTTTGCATTATATCATGTTGTGGTTGTTGTTGAGTCTGTTGAAGTTGCTCTGGCTGTGGCTGTTGTTGAGAATTATGATCAACACTATCCTCTGATTTCATCTATAATAATAATTAATATAAAACAAAAAATAATTAATTAATACGAAAAATAATTAATAATACAAAAAAATAATTAATTAATACAAAAAAAAATAATAATTAAATATAAGAAATAATTAAATATAAATAATTAAATACAAATAATTATATAGAATTAAAAAAAAAAAATACATACCAATTGACCATCACTATTTACATTATCAAGACTCCAAGTAGTTTCATCAGTTATTTTATTAAAATAATAAACTTTACCCTGAGGAGTTGCCTTTTTACCCCAATTAGGAGGAAGTTGTTGAATATTGTCTGAACTTGATCCATTATTATTTTCATTGTTATCGTTGTTATCATTTTTATTATCATCATTATTATTATTATCACTTTCTTTATCAGTAGCTGATTCTTCTGTTCCCATTTCTCCTTCTCTTAATGTTTCAGCTTCTCCTTTAATTTCAACTAATTCATCGTCCATATCGACTCCATTACCTCCACCTCCACTATCATCATCCCCATTATCATCATTATTATCTACTACAACTTCCGATGTCGTTACAACCGTTTGAATTCCATTTTCTTTTTCTTTTTCTTTTCCATTCCCAATTCTATTAATTCCTCCTTCATCACTCACCACCATATTATTATTATTATTATCATCATTATTTTCATTACCTTTATCATCATTCGCACTTACATCTATGTCACTACTCGTACCAACATCTAAGACGACGCCACTAATATCTATGCTATTATTACTGCTACCACCTGGATATGTCCACCGGATTTCTTCCGTTACTGTATTAAAATAATAATAAGTATTACCATCTTCCGTCGGTTTTTGTATCCAATTTTCTGGTAATGGTCGAGATTTCCTTTGTATTTGATGATGATGATGATTATTATTATTATTATCATCAGAATTATTAAGATTATTAAGATTATTAAGATTATTACTATTATCAATATTATCACTATTATTATTAATATTATTATTATTATTAACATTATTAATATTATTATTAACATTATTAATATTATTATTGACATTATTAATATTATTATTGTTATTGTGATTATTATCGTGTACTAATAATTCATGTTCTCGGGGATCACGTTTATTAGAATCGATAGTAGTAGTAGTGGTGGAATCATCTTCTATTAGTGAAGGAAGTTCCCAAGAGGATTCAAAAGTTCGTTGATTGAAATAAAAGATTTTACCGTCAGGAGTTTGTTGGGGAATCCAATCGGTAAACTATGAAAATAATAATATTTATTACTATTATTAATTTATTTTTATTTTATTTTTTTTTTTTTAAAAAAAAAATTCTCTTACAAAATCTTAGAAATCTATCGAGATCGCGACGACAAAAGAATAAGAATGAACATACCTGATCTTCGATTTCTTCATCCTCTTCTATTGTAGTAACATAATTACTTGGAAACCAACCACGTTGTCCATTACAAAATCCATCCCACCAACCTGATTCTAATTGCGTTATTACTTGTATTATATCATTCCTTTTAAAAGAAAGACTTGAACTATCCGCCGAATTGAAATCATATAATGCTTTTACTAATAAGATCGTTGCGGCCATTTTAATTTTTTATTGATGTGAAAGTTGTGAAAGTGAAGGCGAGAGTTGTTTCAAATAAGTAAACCAAGACAATTTGAAATTAAAATGAAAATAAAGAGGAGCGAGGTGAAGTGGTTTAGAAAAGTGATAAAAAAAAAATGTAAAAAATCAAATAAAAAATCGAATAAGCGAATGATAAAATAAATTTTCGAGTATCAAAAAAAAAAAAAAAAAGTGAAGTAAATTTTGAAGTAGATTTAGTTATTTCTTCAAGTTCTTTTTTCTTCTTCAAAAAATAAAATAAAAAAAAAAAGTTGAATAGAAGGAGTAATAATTAAGAAATAATTTGTGGAATTTAAAAACAAAATAACAGTTAAGGAAAGAAATAATCAATAATAATAAGTAATCAAAGGAAAAAAATGAAAGAAAGGGAGATAATAGAAAGAAGTTATTGAGTTAATTAATCTCTCTGTACACTAATTATTATAATTCTTAGTAAAATTCAATATTCAAATAAGTAAAGATGTATCTAAATGTACTAGCATTTCTTGGATACAAGAATCACGATAGTTAACTAAAAAGGTTAAAGAACTTTTCAAGTAAAGAATGAACTTTTCAAGAAAACGTTCCCAATAAAAATTTAATTTTCAAGTAAGTAAAGATATATTAAAATTAACTAGCATTTCTTGGAAACAAGAACCACAAAATGTTAAAAACTACAAACAGTTAGCTTAAAAGGTTAAAGAACTTTTCAAGAAAAGGTTGTTGTTATTAAGCTAGACACAAGATTTGGATTATTCCTTTGTTTTTTTTTTTTTTTATTTTTCGCAGTTTAAGCAAATAATAAAATAAAAATTCGTTAAGAAAAAAATGATGGTGATAGTAATAAATAAAAAAAAAAAAAACTTTTAAACATAAAAAAAAAAGAATGCGAGCCAAGAAGAAAATAAATAATCTAATTTTAGATACAAAAAAAATAAATAAAAAAAAAAGGAAGTTTTTTACATTTAAGTTTTTATTTATTTTATTTTATTTTTGTTTTTTTTTTTAGTTTTTAAAAAAAAAAATAAAATAAAATAAAATTTAATAATAAATTATAATAAATAAAAAATAAAAGGGAAGGAAAAAGAAAGACAACTGCGGACAAGTTAAAGTTAAATATCGGTTCTAGAGATATTTTTGCTTTGTCGAAATCTTAAATAATAAAAAAAAAAAAATTCTAATTACTAAAATTAAAACGTACATAAATTACAGTTAGGAGATGTTACACTTCATATTTTTTATATATTTTTAATTTAATACTTTATTTTCCTTTGCATTACCAAAGGAAAATCCTTTTATACTTTAACCATACCATACCATATTTATTAAGGGTTTCTTTTAAATAAATAAAATAAAATAAAATAAAATAAAATAAAATTGAATAAGAAATTATTATTTAAATAAAAATTGCAAAATTGCAAAGGAGCAATATGGACAATAAGTAAATTAAAAGTTAAATATCAGTTCTAGAGATATTTTTGCTTTGCTTTCTAATATCTTTAATTTTTTTTTTTTTTATTATCGAAACTCACAAAATTCATAAAATTATACTCTGTCCTAATTGGCTTTCAACCAACGTATACAATTTGTATACAATTTGTATATAATTTGTGAACTCTAAACCGTTACACATTTCACATTTTTTTTTATTTTTTTATTATTTTATTTTTTATTTTCCTATTAACTACTTAACTATGCTGCTATGCTATGCGATTTCAAATGATAAGCAGAACCCGAAGGAAAATCCTTTATACTATATTTATTAATGTCTCCATATTTTCGATTTCTTATTATTTTATTATTACGTATTATTATTCGATTTTTATTTTTATTTTTATTTTATTTTATTTTATTTTTTTTTTTTTTTTCGCTCACTCACCAAATATGAAAATAATAATTAATAATTAATAACAAAAATTATACATATATAAATCATCATTATACATTTATTAAAAATTTTAATCAATATTAATAAATATAAATTAAATTTATCATTTAAAAAAATAATAATTATGCTCCTTATAGCAAACAATATCATTATGAAAAGGTAAAAGAAGAAAAGAATGAATTTATAAATAAAGAAAAATGAATTATATAAAAAAGGTTAATCGAATTATTATTTTTAGTGTATCATTTTTTTTTTGTGTTATACATATTTTTTTTTAGTATATAAAGTTTCAAACTCTTAATTAAATTGTTCTATAATACAAGACGACTTGTAATATCCACTAACAATTCTAATGTAATTTTTGTAATTATTATTATTATTATATTTATCATTTTATGAATCATTCGAAGAAAAATAAACTGAATATTTCATTATTTTCTTTTTTTTCCTTGAGATATGGGAAATATTCGTATTTAAAGTTTAATAAGTCGACAGAAATAAATTTTTTTTAATACTGACAATTCATTATCATTATCATATACCTTTGAGAGTCAAATAAATATAACATATATTTATTTTTTTTTAAGTTTAATAATTTGGATAATTTTGAGTATACGTTTTCTTTGAAGTTAATGGCGCAGAAAACAGATTATTTTATTTATTATATATTATTAGAGTACATGTGAAATTTTTGAGCGGGAATTATTTGTTTATATATGTGTGTGTGTGTGCGCGCGCGTTTCTGTGGCGCGTAAATTTATTTCTTTTTAACAAATAAGTAAAGATGAAAATAAATATAATAAATATAAAGTTCAAATAAAGTAATTTTTTTTTGACATAAATTTACATAATGTTTGTAATCAATTGTTATAATTGTTATTTTTAATATTAAGGAATAATATTATTATTTGATAATAATGTTATTATCATTTGATAATATTTGATAATTATTATTATTATTTGATAATAATAACATTATTTGATAATATTATTTGAAAGAAAACAATATTATTATTTTTTTGAATTGTTTTATAATTACAAAATAATAAACTCAAATTAAAGCTATCTAATATACTGTTTACAAAATACAATTCATAAGTTCATAGTCATAAAATCGACAATTCGTTGACGTTGATAGGTTTGTTCTATAATAAGAGGGAAGTATTAAGAAATGGTCTAAAGGTTGTAATAAAGTTAATATTTATATATTATTTTAGTTATATATTATTATTTAGATGTTATTAGTTATATATTATTAGTTATATATATATATATATATATATCTCAGATACACTTATTAAAATGTATGTACATACTTTGCGAAGATGAATATGATTTGAGTAAGTAATTACACTTTTTTGTATGGAATATTCTCAACTTTGGGTTATGTTATACTTTTTCCATAAAAAGAAATACTTAAATATATAAATATATATAAATAAATAACAAGCAAAAAAAAAAAAAAAAGTTTTATTGGTCTCCAAGATATTCCGAGTTTGCAACCATTTTTGAAAAAAGTTTTTACCATAAGATGAATTTTTTTTTTCTCGACCAATATATGTGGAGAATGAAAATTTTTAATCTTGTGCATTATGGATTATTCAAAAATATATATGCGAGGGACAATAACAAAAAACAACAACAAAACAACAAAAACATAACATGGTGTAATTCATTATATAAACCAATTAATTGTCAATCAGTGCGAGTGAAAATAACAAATAAATTTTTTTTTTTACATCATCATTGCATCAAATTTAATCGATAAGGTTCGCTTTTAAAAACGAGAAAAAAAATTGACGATTATATTAAACGTAAAAAAAAATTATTATTACTCTTAACAGGAGAATTTTTTTTTTTTTGATTATTTATAATTATTATTGTAATTATTATAATAATTATTATTATTATAATAATTATTATTATCTATTATTATTTATTTTAATTATAATTATTATTAGTAATTCTTATCTTGCCAGTATTTTTCAAATTTTCAGTATTTTTAGTAAATTTATTGTAACCTTAAAAAGTATTTATTATATTGTATTATACGATCGATCACAATTAAATATTAGAATAATGATGGCGAAGAAAGAAAGAAAGAAAGAAGAAAACGGATAATAATGGTATTTCTTAGAAAAATTACTGTATTGCAAAAATTTTAAATAATTTATAAATAGAATGAAATATTAAAGAATTCATGGAGAAATACATAATTGGGAATACTTTTTCTTTCTGGTTTAGAAACTGGTTTTGATTAATATATTTATCATTTGATATATTTACGTTGCGTCTCGCGTGTGTGATATTATAATTAACTTTTAATTCTTTAAATAATAAATAATTATAAAAATTAATTAATAATAATAAGCATAATCATTATCATTATTATTATTATTATTACTATTATTATTATTATTATTATTATTATTATTATTATTTAATCAATGATAATTTTAAATTATTAAGTTTACAATTAGATAAAGTAATTTACGATTAATTATTATATAATATAATAATATAATAAAATTAAAATGATAATATAAATTTTAATTATCATAAAAATTAAAGTTACAATTAAAGATTAAATTAATTAAAGTTTAAGGTTTTGTCCATCATCACCTCATCGTGATAAACTTTAACCGCCTAAAATAATTTACAAAGATTTATGTTTTTAGATTATAAAACGAAATATTTTTCGTGTCTCAAGATTGTTTGCAGTAGCAGCAGCAATAATAGTAAGCGATATTAAGTAATATTGAGCGATAGTGAGCTATAGTAAATGATAGAATGACTAGAAAAATCATATGCATTATATGTATATGCAAGCACATTCCATTATTTATTATTTTTTATTGTTTGGTTCTCATTTTAGTGTTAGTTGTTTTTTTTTGTTTTATTTTTTTTTTTTGATTCTTTTTTTGCTTCCTTTTTGTTGCTATTGTTTTGGTTTGGTTTGATATTTATTTATTTGCTATTTATTTGCTATTTATTTGCTATCATTTTAATTGTGGTTGAATTTTTTAAGGGGTCCGGATAAAAAGTTTCCTTTTAAAAATAATAAGAACAATCTAAAAGTACCAGTTTAGACCATACCAGTTATCTTTATTAAATCCAAAATAAAATTTTCTACCGTATATTTTATTAATATGAATATGCATCATCAAAAATCTCAATACAATAATATAATCTCAATTCATGTAAGAGATAATAAAGCACTTATTAAATATTTATTAAATATTTATTTAATCCTTTTTAAATTCTTTCTAAAAACTTTCTAAATACAGATTTTAGATTTTTTAGATTTATAATAAATCTCAATATTATATTGGTTCACTACCTTTTTATTTATTTACTAAACCTACTAAAAGATTCTTTAACAAAAATAATAATTTTTTTTTTTTACAACTAATAAATTATTTAATAAATAAATAACAATATAATATGGAATGTGGGATGTGATACCAATGACACGATAATATAATGACGCGTGAACATAATTAATAATAATAATAATAATAATAATTATTATTATTATTATTATTATTATTATTGTTATTAATCAAGTTTATCATCATAATATTGTACAACACTTCTTTGTTGGTTTATCACCAATATTATCCATAAACTACTTGCAATTGTAATAAAAATAGTCCATACTTCAATAAGTTGTAAATGACTTAATTTTCCTACTGGTATTTTAACTAAATAATTATTGATATTATTATTATTATTATTATTGTTATTATTGTAATTGTAATTGTAATTGATATTATTATTATTATTATTATTATTATCACTTTCCTTGGGAATTATATATAAAAGTTTAATGTTTGATGGAAATATTAAAGAAAATGGAAGTGGCGTGGGTGAAAATAAGTGATGAGCTATTTTGGTTGAAATAATAAAATAAAAAATAAAATAGAAAATAAATAAAAAATAAAAAATAATAAAAAAAAAATAATATTAATAATATATTAATATTAATAATGATAATGAATAATAATTATAAATAAATATTTTATTAAATACCTGATTTGTCATCATTATTATTATTATTATTAACATATTTATCAAATTTATCATCATCATCATCATCATCATCATCATCATCACATGCACATACCACCATAGGTTGTGATGCTTCAATTGTTATATGAGTTTTTTGATCATTTTCAGGAACCGCTTGATGATAACGCATATGAACTGGAAGAACAAATTCAGAATTAGTATCATTATTGTTATGGTTATTATTATCTTTATTATTATTGTTGTTATTATTATCCTTATTATTATTGTTGTTGTTATTGTTGTTGTTATTGTTATTATTGTTATTCCTTTCAAATATATTTTCATTAACTAATACCAAACTTCCCCATTTTAAAGGTGAAGATGATGAAGGTGATGAAAATCCAACAGGAATTTCTAAATCTTTTTCCCCCCAAACTTTAATAAATTTTTCAGGGTAAAGTTCATGGAGATGATAAATATCTACATAAAATGAATTGGGAAATGTGTGAAGTAAATAAAGTTGACAATTTTCTTGTGATATTTGTATTGGTAATGGTTTTAATGAAGTAATAGAAGTATTGAATTTAGGATGAAATCCTTGATTATGATTTATACTGAAATTGAAATAGAATAAATCTGTTGAGAACGTTCTAGGAGTTACTTTTATCATCGACGGAACTTTAAAAAATATATGTAAATATATGTATATGTTAGAAATTATTTAATAATAATTAATTAATTAATTAATTGAAGAAAATTGCTAAAGCTCACCAGTGGTGATTATCACCACTGGGCAAAATTAAATTTACGTGGGCAAAGTTAAAATTAGGGGGTTGATCAGGGAATTATGTAATTTTGCCCAGCGGTGATAATCACCACCCGTGAGCTTTAGCAATACCCTAAATTGAAATAATTAATTAAAATACCTATATTTTTCTTATTTTTATCTTTATTTTTTCCAATTATAATTCGTCCTCCAATAAATGATTCCTCATCAATTTGAGGTCCAAAAATACCAATTTCAACTTTTTCTTCATCACTTTCATCATTTTCATTATTATTATTATTATTATTATTTTCTTTTTTCAATTTACTAATTTCTATATCTTGATTTTTAAATATTTCAACAATTCTTAATTCAGCCATCAAAATTTTACTACTACTACTATTATTATTATTATTATTATTATTATTATTATTATTATTATTATTATTATTATTATTATTCTCATTAAATTTCAATTCAAAATCTAATACCAAATAATCTTTGATTTTTTTATTCATCAACATTTCTCCTAATATTGAAATTCTGGTAGGTATTTGATGATACTGATAATAATGATGATGATGAAGTGTTGGGAAATTTGAATAATGATAGAAATTTCCTCTTGGAAGTGAAATTGAATTCTTTAGATTTATTGCAAACTATTAATATATAATTGATATAATTAATTAATATAATTATTATTAAATGATAATTATGAGAGTTGATGATGATGATAATAATAATAATATCAATAATAATAATAATATCAATAATAATAAATATAAACTAATAAACAATTTACCATTCCTTTTGGAAATTGTTCATCATCATCACAATTAAAGAAACCAAATATTGTATCAAGATATTTGCATACAGTATTAAAATCTGAGTTTTTGTGATCTAAACTGTAACCAATAAATAAATAAAAATATTAATCATAAATGAATAAATTAGAATTATAAATAAATTAATTAAGAATTATAATTAAATAAGTATTAAATTATAATAAAAAAAAATTATAAATGAATATAAATATAAATTATAAATAATAATAACAAATTTACCTGTCAGTTGAATTATTACCAAATGAAAATCCAACGTGAATACCAGTAACAGGTATAATGTTAAATGGATATGGTGGGTGAGGTCGATTTTTTGGTACGATCTGAACGCGAATTTTCCATTTATTATTATTATTTATAACTGGTAAATTTAAATTTGATCGAGATTTCAACTAAAAAAATAAACGTGATATTCGTGATATTATTTGATTATTGAATTATATTAATTAAAATAAATGATTTATTCTTATTATTATTAAAAATTAAATAAAGATTAATTAAGCTTAAATAATTTAAAAATATATAACCAACCAATTCTTCAAGTGGAATTAAAACTTTCCATTCTTTAACTCCCGTAAAATTCAATATCCGAATTTTTTGATCTTCGATGGTTTGTATAGCATCTTGATCAAACCAATTTAATGCTTCGTCGTCCAAGAAAAATGAATGTCGATGCTTTGATAACGAATAAACCTTTGGTACCGATATCAATAAATATATTGATATTATTAAAAGTATTTGAATTGAATTCATAACTTATTTTACTAATATTACTAATGATATTACTATTACTATTAATTATTATTAATCGCTACAACGGCGATTAAAATAACAAGTAAAGAGAGAATTTTGAATATTTGTGTGACACAATAATCGTCATATCTCATGATCCATTTCATATCTTATATTGTATATTTTACATCTTTGTCACATTTGTCACATCCGTTGTCATTTCTGTCATTCGAAAGTTTAAACGAACGTTTATATAACTACATTATAACCATTTATGTATTATAAGTATTGAACACAAGATTGAATTCACTAAATAACATTTTTGTTATTATAAAGAATAAAAAGAAACATTTAAAAAGTGATTTATATCCTTTTATTATATCAAATATCAGTCAGTTTATACTGATAATAATAACGGATAATAACAGATAATAACAGAACGGAAAATAGCGTCATTTAAAGGAATATTTCAGTCTTATGGCCTTCTTTAGATGTTTTGGCTTTTTTCTTAGATGTTTTTAGTTTAGATTTTTTTTTAGATATTTTTGGATATTTTTAGATTTTTTTTAAGCGTTCTAGATTTTTTTTTTTTTAGTTCTTTTTTTGGATGTTTCGAAATAGGTGAGTAAAAGAATCGTAATTAGATTTGTGACCTCTAAAAAATATTTTAAACCAAAAATTGATATAAAAGGAAATGTGAAATAAAAATGAATAACATTATTTATTACTTTGTTCTTTGAAGAACACAAACGAATGTACGAAACGATTCATTTATTCATCTATTAATATCTTTGTTACAATGTATCTTATTTATTATAATTTTAATTTTTTTATTATTATTTACATTTTACCTTTATATTTCGATTTGGATATTAAATTTTGTGAATACATGCGTAATTAATTAATTAATACATAATTGTAGATCATAAACAAACAACGAAAAAAAAACAACGATAATACTATAATAATAATAATAACCACAACAATAGAATTATCATTTATCATAATACCTAAATTATGTGTTGTTTTTATTATTCTTCTTAGTATTATTATTATTCGAACAATAAAATTTATAAATATGTCTCATTTTCCTTTTCGAAAAATAAAGACTTTTTTTTTTTTTAACAAAATATATATTTCTTTTAAATCTCTTTTAATAAATAAAAAAATATAAAAGAAATGAAATCCATCAAATTTATTTCATTTCTTTATACATTTATAAACGTTCTCTTCGTTTTATCAATTGATTCTTTGCCAAATTTAGTAAAAAAGTATGCAAAAAAAATATAATAAAATAATAAAATTCGTCAAAGGTATTGATTTTTTCTTTTTTCTTTCTATAATAGGGAAGATACAATTACTCCATACTATTATGATCAATATGTCGATCATTTTAATAAAAATTCTGGAACGTTTAAACAGAAGTATTTCGTAAATTCTACATTTTATAAACCTGGAGCTCCTATCTTTAGTAAGTCTCATTCATCCATCATTAAATAATTAAAAAAAAAACGTAATCGCTAAAATAAAATAAATAAATAATTAATTAATTAAATAATTTTAATATTTATAGTTGCTACTGCGGGCGAATCACAAATTTTCAAAAATCAAGTTGCATTATCTGGTTTTAGTGAAATAGCAGCAAGTTTTAATGGTTTAATGATATTGGTTGAACATCGGTTTTATGGTGAAAGTTATCCTTCCATATCTAACTTTGCTACTAAAAATGTAGAAAAGATTCATACCATCGAACAAGCTTTAGCTGATTTCGCTAATTTTATTGCAAATCCTCCAAATGTTCCAATAAAAATTCAAAAAAAATCTAAATGGATATTTGTGGGTGGTTCATATAGTGGAAATATCGCTACTTGGATGCGTAAAAAATATCCTTCTTTGGTATTTGCTGCTTGGGCTTCTTCTGCTCCTTTATTAGCAAAATTGGACTTTTTTGAATATGATCAAGTAGTTGGTCGAGTTTTACCTTGTCGTGAAGATATTATCACTTCCGTGGAACAATTTATTGATCCAATTTTACATTCGGGTGATAGAATCAAAATTAATTCATTAAAGAATCTTTTCGGTTTGTCAGTTCTTGAGGATGATCAAGATTTTGCTTCAGCTTTAACTAAACCTATTACTTCGATGGTTCAAACTTATTTTCCTCCTACTTCACCACAAGAAATTGATACTATACCTACTTTTTGTAAAGCTTTTGATGATGCACCTAGTAAAGATCCCGCAGTTTTGACGGCAATTTATGCTCAAATTTATAAATACTTTTTAGTAACAAAAGGATTTACTACTAATGAAGCTATTCTAAAAGAATTTGCCAGTACATCTTTAACTTTAGATGTTCCTAATGATGTTACTTCTTACTATTTTCAGGTACATACACATTTATATTTACATTTATATTTATATTTCTATTTACATTTGCATTTACATTTACATTTATATTTGACTATTACCTGAATGATAAAATATATTTATTAATTTTTATTAATTTTTTATATATTAATTTAATTTCATTAAAATTTAGTCTTGCTTTGAATTTGGATTTTATCAAACAGCACCTCAACCACCATTAAAACGTCTTCGATCTAGTATAGTTAACATCGCATATTACCAAAAGCAATGTAATTACTTATTCCCCGAAATTAAATCTCCTCAAGTGGAAAAGTTCAATAAAGTATATGGTGGTAATATTGGTGAATTCCCTCGTACAATATTTACTATTGGAGAAAATGATCCTTGGACTCCTTTAACAATTGCCGGAAGGGCAGGAGGTGAAAGTCTTGATATAATTACCAAGAATATTAAAAATAATTATGTATATATTATTGTCAATGGTTCTCACGTTAATGATTTAAGATTTCCTACTCCCCAAGATAGTGAATCATTATTAAAAGCGAGAATTTTTGTTAAAGAAACTTTAGCTAAATTTATAAAATCTTATAAAGAATAATATTTAGTAATATTTAATTTATATGGTTTTAAATAGTTTAATAGAATAGTAATACATATTTAATAAAATAAAAATATATTGATCCACGAATTATATAGTCAGTAAAATATAATTATTTTTAAGGAAAAAAGTTCAACTTTTTATTTATTTCTCTTTTTCACTTTCTAATACATATAACTATCAATTGAAATTTTCATTTAAAAAATGGCGTTCTTGGTAAAATCATTTGTTTCATTTTGTTTGTTGTAGAGCGTGATATTTCTGGGATCTTATTATTCATTTTATGTATTCTCTCAATTAATACATTTAACGACTTATCAACCATTTAACCATTTCTCTCAAATGTCTCAATTTCATTCGCCTGTAATATTAATCAGTTGGACCTTTTAACATAAGTTGCCAGCTCCTATTATTCGATTTTTTCGGTAAAATCATATTATGTTCGCGTATTATATGCATGTCTATCAAAAATAATGATACATATGAAACTTTTTTTTTACTAACTAAATTGATGTCTGAAAGTTGAGAATAGATTAAAAACCTTCCATTTTTAAAAGTACACAGGATTAAAAATTCGTCAAAGTTAAATAAATTATAAGTCCTTGAACCGTGAAAGATCGGCACTAAATTATTCATATATGTATATAACATTTTTTCGATAGCATGTATATAGTGCTCAGATAGTATGTATGTAATATACTCGATAGCGTGATTAATAAATAGCAAATTGTTCAGAAAAAGATGCTTTTTTTTCTGCTCAAAAAAATTAGGGTATGCAGATAAACTGTTCGGTACGAAACGCTATTTTGTACTGTACGAATATATTTGTGGCTTGTTTAGTACGGTTGATTAACTAATATCACGTGATATTTTTCATTAATTTTAAGAGAAAACTTAAACTAGACCCCAGGGTTTAGGTCATTTATTCTAGACCCCCGGGGTTTAGGTCATTTTGTCTAGACCCTTTCTTAATTTATAAATATCAAAGTTAAATTTTAGTTGTACAACCCATCAAAT